TTAGTGGCGAGCGCACGCTTGTGGCCGTCACCATAATATTGTTATAACTTTGGAACTGCTTGCTGTTTTAACCTGAAACTTGCCCAAAAACTTCTTTAGATATTCGTCTATGATGCTGCATTAAAACAAAAATAAAAAATAAAATTTTATAACAACTTTTGCGTTTGAAAAAACTACCTCCATAATTTTTATAAATAATTTAAAAACCCGCCATTTTATTCTTAATAAGTAATAAGAACTGTAGTTAAACTCAGTTTCTTTAAAATAGTATCTAGTTTTATGTGTAAAAATTTCAAATCGATTGATAATAAAACGTCTGATATATAGCGAGTTTAATTTAAAATTTCGAAAAAATATTCGCTGTGAAATCAGATTTTTTGGCTTTTTCGACATGAAGGCATCAGTAAAAACTTGGTTAAAACTAACGGTAAATGTATTTCTGTGTAAGCTATCGATAACAATTGGTTTCAACCGGTTACTTTGAACCAAACACTTTTTCATTTCTAGAGCACTTTTTGGAGATAATCCGCACGCCTAAGAGGTATTATCTTTAGGCCTGAGAATTTCTATAAGGTATTATATTTAGGCCTGGGAATTTCTATAAGGTTGTCATCTGTCTAAAAAAGTTTTAAGATCCGCTGCTTTCGGCGGATTACATAAAATGAGTTGTCAAATAAAGGCGCTTGGCCTCTAGATGTCCAATAATGTATTACTTTTTTATTAGGGCTGCCACCGTTTTAAAAATTATAACATCTTCACAGTTAGTTGGACTAAAAATGAGGTACAAAGTGAAAGGCTACGGTCCCCGAATGTGCAATAAGTTTTTGATTTTTTTTTGTGGGGTTGCCACCTTTTTAAATATTACTACCTTACATATACATATGCATTTTTTGTTAATGACATCAGATTTGCTAAGTTCGTTGAATTTAAAAAAATAAGGTTCAAGAGCTTGGCCTATAGATGTGCAATAAATTTATATTTTTTCGGTAGAGTGATAAGAAATCTTTAGTTTGAATATTTAAACTTTTTTGAGGTGTTTGAAGGATATTGGTATAAACGAAATGCGTTTAAATAGCTTTATTCAGAACTATATTTAGTAGGGTTGCCACATGTTTAAAAAAGCAAATTCAGCTTGAACTGTGGCACTTAGGTAATTGAAATATGTATCACAATATGGGTGCCAGACTAGAGGGGCAAGTTTTAAAAAGGTTTTTAAAAAGGTTACCGTTCAAAAGCAACGTTATAATAGGGAGAGGTGAAGGCAAGGCCCAAAAGTTTTACCATAACTTTCTAGTAGCATGAAGAACATATGTCCCAAGTTTGAAAATGATAACTATCTTTTTAGAATTTATCCAAAAAAAAAAAATGAATTTTGGCCAGTATGCATGGGAAAAAATTGAGTACTTTCCCCTTGTCGGTGTGATTTTATATCTTTCTACCAACGGCGATTTCGTATAAGTGAAAATTATATCTGTTTTGCTCTAAAATGCACCGCAACTAATCAATTTTATGCTCATAATTTAATTACCGCTGATAACGAAACTAGTCATTGTAGTCATCAAAAAGTCGTCAGTACTAATCGTCAAACTACTCATTGTTGTCATCACAAACTTCTCAGCATTAATAAACAAACTGCTCATTGTTGTCATCACAAACTCCTCAGCAGTAATCATTAATCTCCTCATTTTTTCTTATTACAAAATCCTCAGCACTTAATAAACAAACTTCTCTTTTATGCCATCATAAACTCCTCAACACTAATCATCAAACTCCTAATTTTTGTCATCAGCAACTCCTCAGTGCCAATAACCCAAATAAATATTGTTTTCTGTTAATGAAAGATTTTATTCTTTAAATCCTTGTTGTGCCGATTCTCGCCAAATTATATTAAACCGCATTAAATAAATTAAATACATACATACATACTAAAGCCAGTCTAATCGGCAAACACACACAGGAGATTATCGCTAGCTTTTGGCATAAAACAAGAAAATACACTTTATACATAGAGGTTTATGTACACGTCATTTTAAAGTATTTTTACCTCCAGAAAAATCAATATTCGACGGTAGTTTATAATACTCCCAAATCATTAGCACATTTATCATTCTAGCTTTTGACGCACAAGGACCATGTATTAAAAATTAGCAGAAAAACTAAATTTATAATTGATTAAGAACAAACTAAATTTTCATTGAGTTACCTCTTCATCGCCATTGCACCTGCAATTCAAGCTTTTATTTATATTTTATTTTTAGTGCTGAAAACTGTTTGTGGAGCCGCCCAAACGCAAACATTTTATTTTCATACAGTGAAAATTCATAATTATATTAACGAACATAGTTCAAGAGATAGAGGCATTCGAGTTATCTCTTTAGGACTTTAATAAACTACAAAAACAAAATTATTTTATAAATGCGCATGTATTAGGACTTATGAAAAAAGCGTAAATGTGTTAGAATTTTTACCTAAAGTGCTCAGCAATGTCTTATAGGGAAGTTACTGGTGTAATACTTATCTGCATGATTGTAGTATGTTGAATTATGAATTTAAGATGAAAGATTTATTTTTGTACAAGAATTCAATGTAAAGTTGGTGTAGCAAAATAACCAATGTCAACGACATCTCATTTTGAAACCTATAATAAACGTTCAAAAATTTAATTCAACATGTTCCTCATTTTTTTTCTAAAATACAAAACGATGAATCTTAGATTATCCATTAAAACTGAAAATAAAAAATCGGATTTCCGTGTTTTTTAACAGAAATGTGTTCTTATGTGGTCCAGAATACCCTTCGCTTCTCTATTTAGTTATGGTTTGGCAAAGTAATTCAATGGATATCGTCGGAGAACGCGCCAGAGAAAGCAAACAAACAACAAAGCATCGTTCACTCAAAATCGGTACGCGTTCCAGCAATTTCTGTACAGCAATTGTTGGAATGTATTAAAAAGTTGCAATGCAGATCGTTAGACAATAGATCTACCATTATGAGGTTTAAATTTCATAGTACTGGCTTTTTATTTGACAGTTTTATTCGCGTTGGAAGTTGCTGCTCAAAAAATAATGTTGAACAAATTCGTTGAAAATCCGACATTTTCGAGATCAAAAATCAAATTAAAATTAAATATACCAAAAACTTATAATTATCCTCCAAAAATCAATGAATGGATTCCTTCTGCTTAAACTAACGGGGTGAGCTAATCATTAAAAGACATCATTTCGCACCAGCTTAAGGATAAGGCTCTTTACCTGAATTAGGAAAAAAACGGCTTATCAGAAGAAGAACGTGCGAGAGATTTGGAAAACGGTTATGCACAGTTCAGTGAATGCAAGCTATGGCAAGACCCAAACCTTATCGAGTTATAATATATAAAATTCTGTTAGATTAAATAAATTTTATAACAAAAACCGCACCCGTTTACATTACTCCAATGTTCAAACTAAATGTGGTATTTTATAATAATGACTAATAAAACATGTTTAAAGCTGGACTTCGGTCAACTCCCACGTTAAAAGTTTTAAGCTAAAAAGAAACAGGGTGATATCCTCTTACAACTAAATCTATAGAAGTTGACACAGTTGTCAAAAGGCTATGAAATGACAAGAGAATCGAGGCATATGACCCCAGAAATATGATGGAAGGAGCGTTTGCACAAAGTATTATTTCATTGTATCCTTTACTTTGGACCTTTTGTAAAGTGTTGGTGGGGTTTTATGAAAACTAATTATTCACAGGTAACTTTAAATCGGTTTGAAGGCAATGATGTGAATAAAGTTCTGGAAGTCATCAATTTACAAATATGACCTATTCAAGTCAAATCGAAAAATACATGGTATTTATTTAAAACAAAACTAGTAGAGATGTGCGAGCCGTGGAAAAACATAAACTAAGGATAGTTTAGTAGAGCAAGTTGACTACACAAGTCTCTAGAACGGGTGTTCAGAAAATTTTTATCATTATCAAAGAAATTGTCTCTTATTTATTTATCCAAGCAAAATATGAAACTCTCGCTTACATGTATCTATAACGGAATGTTTTCTCTTTATTCTAACATATTAAATATTATTTTCTGAAAACGTTAAACGTTAAAGATATAACCCATTTCATGCGTACCGATTTTGAGTGAACGATGCATTAGCAAACGTTTCGTTTAGTTTCGCTCATACAAGGTAACGAAACACAACAGATTCAAACCACTCGGAAGAATGGTGAAGAGTATTACCGAATCGCGTTTTACATACCGTACCTAGATCTTTTCATTACGCATTTGAAAGATCGATTTCTAAAACACCGGGATATTTTGTCTAATTTTGCTTGCCTCTTTCCTGACAAAACACCAAATTTTGATGAATTATCTTGTGAGCTGTTGAGAAATATAATATCCATTTTACATGATTCGGTGCCAGAAATATGGATAAGGATTTGAAGCTTTGCATATTTGTAACTCCGATGCTTTTCCAAATGTTCATCAAGTACTTGGAGTCCTAGCTGTTTTACCTTATACGACTGCCGCGAATGAAAAAACGTTTTCAACTTTGCGCCGACTAAAAACTTATATGAGATCAACTATGAAAGAAGATCGTCTCAATATGCTAGCTTTTCTCACTATTCATCAAAATCTGTATGTGTATCTCAGCGAATTGCATTATTGAAAGCTGAATAATTTAGTAAATAACGAATCATGAGACTTTTATTTGAGTTCTGGTGAATTATATCCATAATTAAATACAGTATGCTGAATACTCTAAATAAAACAATGATATCCTTGGTTGTTGCAAATGATTTTACATAAATCATCGAATTCGCACCACCAAATTTCGGATCAAGTAATCAAATTTAAACCTCTCACTACCCATCCCTAGTCTCTTCATTTATGTATTTTGGTTTATTTTTGATTGCATGCTCTATCATTAGAACTACGTTCGATATTGTATATACATATGTGTCGCCATTAATATTATAAACCCATTGACGGCTTTAATACTTTTATTTTACAGCGATGGCGTCGGCGATGGTTTACTTTGAAGCAAGGAGAAATACCAGAACAGTTTTGTCTTGAGTACTATACTGATCGTAATTGTCGTAAACTAAAAGGCATAATTGATTTGGATCAATGTGAACAAGTTGATTGTGGACTTCGTTTGGAAAATAGGAAACAAAAGTTTCAATTCATGTTTGACATTAAAACACCAAAACGGACATATTATCTAGCTGCCGATTCTGTTGAAGATATGCGGGACTGGGTTAATTGCATCTGCCAAGTTTGCCACTTACACGACTTTAAACATTCTTTGGATGATTACGGTAATTCTCAACATATTTGAAATATTTTAGACCCAGTTGAAATTAATTTTCAGTAAAATATTAAGACACTGCAAAGTGAAATAAAATTTTACGATCTCATGCGATATAACTGTATGAATTGATATAAAGCAACACTATCAGCGTGATATTCTGTATTAGTTTAACATAACAATTTTATATTCATACCTCATTGTACAAATGGAAAGAAACATTTCCTTATTCTTATCCTTATTTTTCATATTATAAGTATTTGAATTAAATTTTCCAATCAGGATCTAAATAAAATTTCTTTGAAATAGTATAAAAACAAATGAGTATAGAAAAAATGAGTCACAAAAAAATTATTTCCGTCGATTATTCACAAACCTTTTGTGTTGTGTAAAAAATTCATAACGATGATAGATCATTTGTTTCTCATAAGAAGGGAGATTGCTTTCCATCTCCACTTCATTTAGCAATCATAACTATTCAACAATTGTTCTTTGATCAAATTAGGAACCCTAAGTAAGGGTTTCTGACAGCTTTATCCTCTGAACTAAATTTTAATTTATATTTGTTAGAGGTTTTTTCTTAAGATTTTATAAAAAAAAAAAACTGCGCCGAATAAAATCACTAGCTACAAAAATTATGATATGCTTTAAACCAGTTATTAGATTTCTAAAAACTAAAGCATTTTACAATTTTATTATTGGCTAATGATAAATTCTTTGGTATTTCATAGGCGTATTGATCTGTAGTTTATGTGCAAGAAAACACTCTTAATCACGTTCCAGACCAACGCTTCGCTAACTTTCTTAGCTCTCTTGGATATATATAAACAAGGAATCACATTAAAACTTAAACTAAGTCGTACGCATCGATGCCGACGCCGCACAGTGGTCTGAGAGTGGCAGAAAATCTTAATTTTGAAATGTGTGGAAATATCTAACTAAGTGGTTGAAATTTTCCTGAGAAAAACTACTCTATCAATTACACAGGGCACCACTGATTTTGGCGCGGCAAATGTTAGATGTGTTTGATAGACTTTTTGGTGCTGATTAAGATCCGTATGTATAAAGTTTCCATCAGCTCCAGATTTTGAGAAAAACGATGCCAAATGATCAATAAATTGAGTTTTTTGAAATATTTCAGAAGCCCTAGCAAAGAAAAAATAGGTGACAGAACCTTCTACTTAGGCTTAAATTAGAGCTTGAGCTTTCAACTCTTCTTCTTCTTCTTCTTGTTGTTGTTTTTGTAGCGGCTACAACAACCCCGCCCAGATCGGTTGGTATCTCAGTCGTTGTCGTCAAGTTCCACTAACGGCAACCCTAGGAAGCGTGCAGCTTCTGTGGGGTTTGTCCACAGGGACAAGGCCGTTAGGGTTGTCGGGTTTTCCGGGCATGCGAAGAGATGTTTCGAGTCATGTGGGGTCTCTCCGCATGCCGGACACTCATTCGGCACATCCTCATTCAACCTACTCAAGTAGGAGTTCAACCTGCTGCAGTAGCCGGAGCGAAGTTGTGCGAGTGTAGTGCGTGTCTCCCGAGGCAGACGAAGCTCCGTCTCGTCTATGTCCGGGGGTGGTATGCCTAGAACGGCATTCACAGGTCTAGAGTCTACATAACTCGAGACTGAGTCCCTGTGAATGCCGTTCAGGGCCTGTCTGTAAGCTGTCGGGTCCAGAGGTTGCTTAATGAACCTCTGGACTTCGTCCGTCAGTTCATATAGATGCCTCCTGACGTGCCTAGGCGAGGGCTCCTCTGCAAGCAGCTGTCTGTTTGGGTGGCCACTTCTGTGGCTCCCGATCAGGAACTGCTTGCAGAGCATTATATTGTGCTCCTTTACAGGGAGCATTTGCGCCTCGCCGTGCAGGTGGTGTTCAGGCGACATCAAGAGGCATCCTGTCGCTGTCCTGAGTGCGGTGTTCTGTACAGTCTGTAGCTTCGTCCACTGCGTCCTACTAGTCCCTGGCGACCACACTGGCGCTGCGTAGTTCAAAACCGGCCGGCCTATTGCCTTGTATGTTGCCAGCAACGTTTCTTTGTCTTTGCCCCAAGTACTGCCGGCTAGCGACTTGAGGACCTTGTTGCGGCTCTGTACTTTATTGACAATAGCGGTTGAGTGCGCAGAGAAGGAGAGCAGGCTGTCGAATGTTACTCCGAGTATTTTGGGGTTATTCACCGTCGGAATTGGTGTGTCATCGACGTGAATCCCCAGCGGTAGCCTGACCTCCTTCGTCCAGGTTGTGAACAGGGTCGCGGAGGATTTCGTAGGGGAGAGGGCTAGACACTTTGCAGTGAAGAAGCGAGAAAGTTCGGAGAGATAGCCGTTTACTTTCGAACACAGGTCATCAATTCCATTCCCAGTCGCCATGATCGAGCAATCGTCGGCATAGGAGACAATCGAGACTCCCTCTGGTGGTTGAGGGAGCTTTGAAATGTAAAAGTTAAACAGTAGCGGGGAAAGGACACCACCCTGAGGAACCCCCTGTTTTATTTTTCGCTGCTTACTCGTTTTGTCTCTAAACATTACCGACGAATGTCGACCACTCAGATAATTTGCCGACCACCGTTTGAGCCTCTGTGGGAGAGAGGAGGCCTCTATATCTTCTAGCAGCGTGGAATGGCAGACGGTGTCAAACGCCTTTGACAAGTCCAACGCTACTAGAATCGTTCTCTCACAGGGACGGTTACGGTTAAGGCCACGAGTTATCTGAGTGTTTATGGCGTTAAGTGCTGTTGTTGTACTGTGCACTTTACGGAAACCATGCTGATGCTTCGCTGGGGTCAGGTGGTTTGTGAAGTACGGGAGTAGCAAGGCCTCGAGTGTCTTCGCTACCGGGGAAAGGAGTGTAATCGGACGATACGAATCTCCTTTGTTGGCGGGTTTCCCCGGTTTGAGCAGTGGGACCACTCTCCCCACCTTCCAGATGTCTGGGATGATGAGAGTGGCCATTGACAAGTTGAGGACCTCCGTTAGGTACGCTACCCCCGCAGGACCCAAATTTTTCAGCATCAGCATGCATATTCCGTCGGGACCCATGGCTTTGGAGGCTTTCGCCTTCCCGATGGCCACCTGAACTTCACCGCAAGTGAAAGCAAGGGGGGCACAATTTGTTGGCAGTTTGTGCAGCCTTCTGGTCACTCGACGCTTGGCTTTGTCCACCGGAGGATGCAGTATGAACTGCCGGCTAAAATAGCTCGCGCATCGCTCCGGGTCCGACGAAGCATGGTCGCCGAAGGAAATTTCGACTCTGTCGTCGTGCTTCGTCGGATTAGACAATGACCTCACGGTTGACCAAAGCTTGCTCACACCAGAGGTGAAATTACAGGTCTTCAGGTGCTCCTCCCACTTCTTCCGCTTATGTACGTTTACAAGTTGCCGAATCTCCGCGTTGAGATCCCTGATACGGGGATCTCCGGGATCGGCCTGACGAAGGCTATCACGCTCATCGGCTAGAACAGCCGCTTCGGCAGGGAAGTTTGGACGTGGGTCCGATATACATCCTGCCGGTATGAAGCGAGCTGCAGCAGCAGTGATAGCCCTGCGGAACTTACGTTCACCGAGATGGACGTCGGTTGGTGTGGGGAGCGCTGCGAAGGTGTTTTCGGTAAACTCCGCGTAACCTTTCCAATCAGCTTTAGAAAAGTTGATATAGGTCCGGTGTTTGGCGGAGGCAAAGTCGGTTGGTTTATCAATCGAGATGACTATGGGTAGATGGTCTGATGCTAGAGTCAGCATAGGTCGCCACGTTATGCTGTTTATCAGACCAGCGCTGACTATTGTGATGTCTGGCGAGCTACTGCAGTTACCCATAATCCTGGTGGGTGCGTCGTCGTTCATTGTGCAGAATGTCGAATCGTCTATCTGCTCAGCCAAGTCTGTTCCCCTACGATCGTTTGACAGGCTTGAGTGCCAAAGATCGTGGTGCGCATTAAAGTCACCTACTACCATACGGTTTTCACCTCTGAGGAGCGCACCTATATCAGGGTGATATCCTGCCGGGCAGCAGGTGACAGGGGGTATGTATATGTTAAATATTTCGAGCTCGACATCGCCTGACCGGATAGCGATGCCCTGACATTCTAGGGTGGTATCCCTGCGGTCGATGTCTGCTTCGATAAGACGATACTGCACGGTGTGGTGCGTGATGAACGCTAAGCCACCACCATTATCTCGCTCGCGATCTCGACGGTGCACGTTGTACCCGGCGCAATTCAACAAAGTTGAATTGCTGTGCAACTTCGTCTCTTGGACCGCAGCTATTAATATACCATGCCGACACATGAAGACGGTTATCTCCTCAATCTTGCTCTGTAGCCCGTTACAGTTGAATTGGAGGAGCTTCATGTGGTTCGGGAGACGTGTCGTGATGTGGGGTGTGAGTGAGGTGTATGTTCTTGCCGCCGTTGGCTGTGTGTGCTGCTGAGGTGATTGCCGCCCTGTGGTGGTGGTGGGGGGCGTCGCAATTGAAGTCTGCGACCGAGCAGCGCAACACGGGCCCTCGAAGTTCCCCGTCCAATCTCGCGTGGTACGCAGACCTGAACATGCCCTAAAGTGGCACCAGCCAAGGCAGGTGTTGCACTTGACTGATGTCACATTACGGAATATTCTGGTCTGACATACCGTGCAGATTGTAGGGGGAACCAGGAGTTGTTGGCGGCGGCGTGTGGGTGGTGGTGCGGTTGTGTGTGTTATGTGGTCTGTGGTGGCTGTGGTACGGTCTGTGGTGTTATTATGTTGTTGTGTTGTGGTGACTGTGTGTGGCTGCTGTGTGAGTGTGTGAGGCTGCTCGGGCGGACTGTGGTTAGCCGTGGAGGCTGCTCTGTTTGAGCAACAGGGGGCCACGTACGACGTGGTCCACTGTCTATGTGTCCGTAGTCCCGAGCAGACTCTGAGGTGACTCCACCCCTCGCAGGCATTACACTTGACTGAGGTGGAGTTGTGGTGTAATCGTCTCCGGCATACACAGCAGGTGTAGGTTTCTGGCCCTGGGTTTGACTCGATGCCAGCCCTGAGTA